CTCTGCTTCTTCTTTACTTGCAGGTGCACACATAGGAGTTGGCATCAGTGGCCAGGAAGGAATGCAAGCTGTCTTGGCCAGTGATTACTCCTTTGCCCAGTTCAGATACCTTCAAAGGCTGCTGCTTGTCCATGGCAGGTGGTCCTATTTCAGAATGTGCAAATTTTTGTGCTATTTCTTCTACAAAAACTTTGCCTTCACTCTGGTGCATTTTTGGTTTGGCTTCTTCTGTGGCTTCTCAGCTCAGGTTAGTACTTAGCAGCTAAGTTTATAAATCAACAAAATAATGTATGTGTTTAACATACCCCATTATTGAGAGGGCTTTTATTTAAGTATCATCTGCACTTATCAGTGTCCCCAGGTTTGAATGGGAGGGGGAGCCTTTAGTTTTATTTGGCTTGTTAATTTTTTATTTGGAACTCAGTCTTTTTTCTCTCAGGTAAGAGGTAATAGTCGAATCTGTATTGTAGAAGATGGTGTTACACTTCTACCATCCTCCCAAGAAGCATGGCAAGATCTCCCCCAAAAACTTCCACTTCAGTTTATGATGCATGTTACATTTCTGAGCAAATGTTCTTTCTCTGTCAGCTCTCACCTGCAGTGTTGACAATCCTACCTGTCAAATTTACTCTCATTCCTCTTCTTGATCCACCATGCATCCCTACCTGAACTTTATTAAATGGTTTTCCATATTAGGCATCTGTGTATTCAAGCAGAAGTTATGGTGGCAAGCAGCTCAATTTGTGGCTGCTAGCTGATTAGTTAAGTGGGGCTTCTTCTGATAAACTTAGAGGTCATTTAGTAAATCAGTAGCCAACCCTTTGATTTTTTTAGGTGTGCAAGTCTCTTAGCAAGTATAGAGAATAGGAGAAGAAAAGTTGGCCTTCTTTGTTTATTTTCCAGGAAGGGGTGCGAGGGGTAGTGTCTAAACCTCCCACTTCAAATGAAATGCTGGGGCTGAGATGTGTGGGATACAGGAGCAGTGCCATTTTCTGAAGAAACATGCAATGGGAATGTTGAAAGAGGGAGCCATGACTGAGGCCAGCTATTTTGGCTCCAGAAGGATCAGGAATTTCCTGAAAGTATTAATAATGGTGGAAATATATTAATCTGAGTTTTGGGAAACATCATTTGTGTTTCTGGGGAAAGACAGAGTGTTTTTTAATTTCAGCAACTAAACATAATATTTGGTATGATTTATCGAACAACATGGTTTTAAAAAGCTGTTATGGAGCACAAGAACATCAGTATTTTTTTAGAAAAACTTTGCCATTTTGGCTCATCTTAATCAACTTAATAAATATACATTTTAATTTTGCTTTTACATAATTGGCTGTAAGACAAGGTTTTCTAGACCTTTTGATTGATTCAATAATAGGGAAAATTTACATAACTATGTTTTAAATAGTAAGCTTTCTTACTATACTTTTTTCTCTCAACCCCCTGTACTTTGTGGGATGCACTTAAATAATTTGATGAAAATGAGAAGAGTTTGTTTGAATCTTGGTTTTAGATATCTTCTCATGTGACCCTTCCAAAACTGGAAGTCTGTAGAATAAAATTCAGGGAAAGGAGATTTCATAGATGACTGACAGCAGTTGTAGTTGTATGATTGGGGATCATTAGCATAACTACTTATAGGGAACAGTTTTGATATTTAATTTTGTCATTAGAAATTTTCCAAAGCTTGCACATTTATCCTACGTTCTGGTGGTTGCACAGCACCTATCCAGATTAGCTAGTTGGCAGTTCTTGGCATTTGGCTTTATGTCTCTTGAATTGTATTTATTATTTTTCATTGTTTGATTTTGGTGGTCCTGGAGAACACAACCAGGACTAGGATATGTTAGGCATTATGCAAGTATATAGTAAGAAATGCTTACTACCCCAAAAAGCTTATATTCTTAATAAGCAAGACAGAACAAGATTAGGAGGAGAAAGAGAAAAAGAAACTAATTTGACTGAGGTCACACAACAGGTCAGTGGCAGAGCTGAAAATAGACTCCAGGTCCCCTGACTCCCAGTCCAGTGTCCTGTTTGACCACATCAACCCCTGGATAAAGCCTTCTTAGCCTTTTAGGGACTCTGGCATAACTGTACTCACTGGTGCTCTGCATTCTCTACTGAGTCCTAGGCCACTTGCAAATCCTGGTCACAATTTTTAAAATCTTTCAGACTTTCTATTAATCTGGACTGCTTTTCTGTGCAATCTGCCAAAACTGCAGTGAACTGAATGGGAACTTTGACTAGGTCATCCCAATCTGAAATTGTTGAGGTCTGGTAGCAGACATAGCTGATGTGTGAGCTACTGAGGGCCAGATGACTCTCCTTCATTCCACTAGCTTTCTCTCAGTAATGAAAGTGGCAGGAAGGCCCAGCTTCTAGGCTAAGTACAGACAGTCAAAAAGCCAGAGGCTGAATTGATTTATTTCTGACAGGAGGTTAGTTTAAGCGTCATAGATTGAACTGAGAAGCAAGTGAATAGACATTTACTTTTGATTCTGGAAATGTAGTCATATGACTGCGGTGGCTCAGGCCATAAGCTGGGGGGTGCCACAGCATCCCTCCTAGCCTGCCAGCCAGTGCTGAAGGAAAGGGACAAAAGCTGGAGGAGAAGCCGTTCAAGGCTTCCCCCTTCCCCCACCACTCAAGAGGAGAAGGGAGAGCATGGCCAGGCCTCAGCTGGCCCACTGAGTATGATGGGGGGAGGGTATAAACCCCAACCCTGGCCTGCACCTCCCTCACCTGGAGGTCTGCCAGGGGAGGGGAATGGCGAAGCCCCTGACAGACTTTTCCCTGCTCCCCACTCCAGTGGAGGGTGGGGGGGGCATGGCCAGGGTCCAGCCTGGGGCCAGCACGCTGGGGAGAGGGGGTTTTAAATCCTCTCCCTGGCCCTCATGGGACCCCAGCTAGGGTCTGTTGGGGGTGGGGGCTGACAAGCTTTTCCTCCTCCCTGATCAAGTGAAGAGCAGGGGGGACATGGCCAGGCCTCAGCTTGACCCCTCAGGCTGAGGCAGGAGGGCAGGGTTTAAATCCTGTCTTGGCCCAGAGGGGACCCCAGCCAGAGTCTGCCTGGCCATGGGGAGGCAATCCCTCCCAGGTGTTTACCTGCTCCCAACTCTGGCTGGGGTTCCCTGTGGGCCAGGGAGGGAGTTTAAAACCCACCACCTCAGCCTCTGGGGTTGGGCTGGGGGCTGGTCATACCCCCCACTCTCTGCTCAAGCGGGGAAGAGCCTGGCAGGGGCTGCTCCCCAGCCCTACCCCCACCCCAGGCAGACCCTGGATGGGGTCTGGTGCAGGGCAGGGAGGGGTTTTAAACTGCCCTTTCCTCTGCCTCAGTATGCTGGCCCAGGCTGTGTCCTCTCTCCCCTTTCTGCAGGGGATGGGGGGGCAGGGGAGCCTGGAAGGGGCTACTCCCTCCCCCACAACAGACCCCAGTTGGTGTCTGGAGCCAGGTTTCCCCACCAGGCCCCTTCTCAGCCATCCAGAGCAGTGATAGTGCTCCAGCTAGGAAGCAGAGAGGCGGGGCCAACCCTGCTCTGCTGCAACAGATAGCACAGCCCAGGGCTGCAAAGCATCCTTAGATGCTGGGGGACTGTGAGTTAACTTGAACTGGTGGGGGAGTGGGGGAGGGTCTGGGACAGAAGTTCCATAAATCGGTTTCACCTAAATCAGTTCAGTCTGATACGATATCAAACCAAATGTATCTTAAACCAGTTTCAGCCATTTTGAAAGCAGATTTAAGTGCACTGAACTTCTGTTGGGTTACAGATTTGAACCAGTTTCTGATCACGTAAACCAGTTTGTGTGTAATTTCTGTCCTTATCCCTAGAGATAAACAAAGCTCTTAATGTATATGCATGGGGCATAGACATTACAATGATTGACACCTTGCTAGTTCCCAGATTAATAAATAAAGGAACAAGGAAGTATTCTGTGTTGTTTATTTTTAAATTATGGGTTTGAATGGTGTATTATTATGCTGAACACCCAGAAAGTCCAGTGAATTGTTTAGCAGCTCATTAACAAATTCTGATAACCATTTTGTAGCACTCACTGCATGGCTTAAATGTATGGTGGTTCAGTCCATCCATTCCTTACAGAAAAGTAAAATATGCTTGTATTTTGAGGACAAAGTATATTTTACTCTATACTAAAGTTTTAAGTATCAGTCCAATATTGGATTGGCACTGATATAAAGAAAATTGATTATATCAGAAATCGGCCTGATGTGGCCGATAATTTGGCCGAAAAGTGCCTGTGCATGCTCACAGCCGCAGTGCAGCAAAAAGGCAGCGAGGAGGACAGCCTGGAAGCTTGGAGAAAGGTGTCCAGCTGGTAAGTCTGTTGTGGTGGAAGGGGTGGGGGGAGGGAAGGGGCATGGGAGTGCAGATCAACGCCCCCTGTGGTGAGGGAGGGAGGGAGTGGGGCAGGGGCTGGGCCATGTGGTCAGCTGGAGTGGGGCAGAGTGTGGGACAAAGCCATAGTTTGTTTGGGGGGTGCAGGGCGGCAAGCAGCTCCTGCTGCTGTGCACAAAGCAGGAGGGCATGGGGGAAGGGTGTGTGTGCCCCCTGGATTTGTGTGGGCAGGCGGGGGGGCTGCAACTGTGGGCTGGGGCCAGGGCAGTACTGGGCTCTTCCTGGTGCATGGGGGCTGTGTTTGGGGCTGCAGGCTGTGTTCCTGGCACGTGGGGGCTGCACTTGGGGTGGGTGGTAGCGGCACTGTTAGGGAGCTACGTGGGGACTTCAGTGAAATTAGGGTGGTTGCAGCCCCCCCGCCCAGTGCCACCTGCCCCAAGTGCAGCCCTGGCCCAACCTTCCCCCCCGCCCCCCTCCATCCCAGGGCCACACTGGAAGAGTCCAGCATGGCCCTGGCTCCAGTGTGCAGCTGAAGCCCACCCCACTCCCAGGCTCAGATCTGGGGCACGTGCCCCCCTATGGCCTCTTGGGGTGTGTGCAGTGGCAGGAGTCACCCCACACCCGCTGTACAAGCTATGGCTCCATCCAGCACCCCACCCTGCCCTGCCCCGGCTGGCCTCACTCCAGCCCCCCACACCCCTCCCCTTACCCTCCCTGTCCACCACAACAGACTTACCAGCTGCATGCAGGTGTAATGAAAATTAGATCTGTATTGGCCAATATGCCTCCTTAAAAATTGGCTATTGGTATTGGCCCCCAAAATCCCTATCACTGCACCCCTAGTTTTGTTAAAGAAAAGCTTACAGTGAAATGCTGTTCCCTTTGAAATCAGTGGTAAAGCTGGTCTTGACTTGAATGGAGCTGGGTTTTACCCCCAGTTTCTGATTATATGAAAATATCTATAGTGTGCTCCCCATTTTTGTTTTTCTCACATACAGCTTTAATATGCTAGCTTGATATACATAAGGTAGGACCTACTTAAAAATAAAGGCCAGACATCTGCATCTTTCTTTCACATGCCTCTTATTAACAAGTTATGGTTAGGTAAATTACTCTACAGCTGAAAACAGTTGGCCAGATGTAAATAGATTACGCTTTCTCAGACACAATGTTGAGTTAAAAAAAGCAGTATCATTACTTAAAGTGACATGTGGTATTTCTTTACTACCTTGGGCTGCCTCACACTGTTGCTGGCACTGTTGAATTTAATCACTTCAGGTCTTAAATGATGTCCTCCTGCCTATTCCAGGCAACATGCGTGGTAGGTGGGCTGCACACAACAGATGTGCATTTCTGGAATGTGTTCCTTTGGCAATGGCATCTTTGCCTACAAGATGTCCTCTGAAGTAGATCCATGACTTAGTGGCACTGTGCAGCAGTGGTTGGTTGTATTGCGGTGCCATTTTGCTAACTACTTTTGATCTGGTTTCAAATGTGAGCAATTTGTTTCCTGTTTACAAGTTCACAACTAGTCCCAGAGCTTTGAAGACTTTTGTGCAAGTTTATATTCAGCATGAAATTCCCTTGTTCTCACATGTGCTTGTTATGGATGTGTGTGCAGAGAAGGGCAAACTGGATCAGATAAAAAAGACTCACACCTTCACTCTCTAAGTCAGTGCACCTCTGCAGATTTTAGTTTTGTCTGAGACTAGGAGTTTAAATATGAAGCTACTGCTGGGAAGGCCAGGGAAAGCACAGCTCCATGGACAGCCATGTAGCACCTGGGGCAGTGCCAGTTCCTGTCATGCTGTTTGCAGCAACTCAGTCAGCCACTGCTGGAGCAGCAACTGCTTGTGTAACCTGCTCCCCCCACACAAAGGCGGTGCCTAGGGCTGCTGCCCTAGTCAGCCCCTTTCCCTCCTCCCCCCATCCCCCATTATGCTACTGGGGAAAGTTATTTGTACTGTTTCTGGCTTGACTGAACCCTGCAGGAAACAAATGTCCCATGAGATCATGAAATAATATCCAACCCGGATTCTAGTCAGCTCTGTGTCTGTCAGCTCTTAAGATCTTTTGGTGATAGGACTCTTTTCTTTAATGCCAAGATAAGTACCCTAAATATTTAGAACATTCATTCAACTCAAAATCAAACTGAGCAATAGCCACATATTAACATGCTAGGTTTCCTTGGATCCCCAGTGAGGTAATGTGCACAGTCATATCCAGGTATTTCTCACATTTGTGACTGGATCTTCCTACTGCTATATCCCTGCAACACAACCACTACAGAAAGGATGTGAACACCTTGGAGAGAGTCCAGAGGACAGCAACAAAAATGGTTGGGGGGGTAGGGCATTTGACTTCCAAGGAAAGGCTGAGGGAACTGGGTTTATTTAGTCTGGAAAAGAGAAGACTGAGGGGCGATTTAATAGCAGCCTTCAACTACCTGAAGGGGGTTCAAAAGAGGATGGAGCTGGACTGTTCTCAGTGGTGGCAGATGGCAGAACAAGGAGCAACGGTCTCAAGTTGCAGCAAGGGAAATTTAGGTTACATGTTAGGCAAAACTTTCTCACTAGGAGGGTAGTAAAACACTGGAACAGGTTACCCGGAGAAGAGGTGGAATCTCCATCCTTGGAGGTTTTTAGGACTTAGACAAAGCCTTGGCTACGGCCAGCCTGCTTTGAGCAGGGGGTTGGACTAAAGGACCTCCTGAAGTCCCTTCCAACCTTAATTTTCTATGATACTATGATTCTGTGATTTCCAGACTGGATTTAAGCTTATGACTTTTTTTCTTATGTTGAGGAAAAATGCAGTAAACAAGCAGTTTGTTGATTATTGTATGTGCCTCAACTAAGTAAGTGTCGTGAAAAATCATTGGTAATTCCTTGCATACAAAACAGATCACTAAACCAATAAATATTATTTCACTTGTTTTCAAAATGCATTTTTTCCATGAATGGGGTAAAGTCTTTTGTTGTTGCAAATTATTATAATGAAAACTTTGGAAATGACGTGTGTGAAAACTTGTTATTAACTGCATCTATTTTTCAGACTGTTTATGACCAGTGGTTTATCACCCTCTTCAACATTGTCTATACTTCACTTCCTGTACTAGCAATGGGGTTGTTTGACCAGGTACAATTTTATCTTATTTGTATCATGTCTCCAAAGGAAGCAGTATAATTATAGTCTTTATGCTATAACAAGTCATCTTTAAATGTATATATTGTATAATTAATTCTCCCATGTTATCTGCCTTACCTCATTTTAACATATGCTGGGAATCAGCCCCCACCAATGGCCTCAACATCAGTAATTACTTCCTGATCCTTTGACTGATTCTGCACCAGCTTTTTCAAAATTAAACTATGCACCAATTAAGGATTTCTGGAATGCAACAAATTCTGGCTGTAATGCTGTTCTGAGCCAGATTCTTCCTCATTTGGGGCTAAAGTAGTAGAAATGTAGTCCTTGGTGACTTTCCCACCCCTATCTAACCATCATCAGAGAAAGATAGCTGTATGGCATCTCTTTTGCCCTGCCAGAAAGGCCAAAGGGGCAGAGTGGGAGAAGGGAATCTTATCCTCTGTCTGTAAGCACATTTCAGTTATGAGAATATATGATCATCAAGGGAAATGTCGTCTTCCCTTTGACATGAATGTCTGCACCTAATCTGTCATATAAGTTTTTTATTTTGTGCCATTATTAAAGTAACACTGTTTTCATATTATTTTTTATAGGATGTGAGTGAGCAGAATAGTATGGATTATTCAAAACTGTATGAACCTGGGCAACTAAATCTCCTGTTTAACAAACGGAAGTTTTTTATCTGCATAGCATATGGAATCTATACCTCTTTTGCTCTTTTCTTCATCCCATACGGTGCATTTTATAACATAGCCGGTGAAGATGGAAAACCCATTGCTGACTATCAGTCTTTTGCTGTTACTATGGCAACATCTTTAATTATTGTAGTCAGTGTTCAGGTAAAAATAAAGATACTTATTTAGTTCGTGTTTTTAGAAGCGTTCTCCTGATTTTTAAATGCAGAAATTCCTGATAGAAATGAGACTTTCACTTAAGTTTGGAATCATTGAGGAGGTTTCAAAAGTTTACTTACAAACTTATAATGGCCTAAGATAGGGATATTCATTCTTTTAGAACAACTTCACAAATCTAATGTTTTCCTGAGTAATCAATGAGAATCTGAGATAAATGACGCATTGAGGACTTTTGTGACTTGAGAGAGTCTCAGCAACAGGAAATGTATTTTTCAATGGAAGCTATACTAGAATAGCTTTCTGCTAGGGTTTGAGGTAAATTAATTTTTAAAAAGTAAATTATTCTCCTGCAGTTAGAATAATTGCTGGAAAATGTACATTATTTAAATGCTGCTGCAAACCCCACAGTAGACTGGGTAGAGAACAGATTCAACTTTTTTCCTGGAATTAGGGAAAAGAACTTGTTACACCATATTTTATCTTCTTTTTCTAACATAAAGGCTTTGACCTCCAGACAATGCTGTTTATGGTCTCCAATAAGCCTAATGAGAGCAATTAAGAAACAGAGCAGGAATTAGGGTGGTGGCTTTGGAGACAGTTTAACATCTTGTAGGAAAGGGCCATGTTAACCATATATGACCAACCTGCTAGGAGGGAGGGAATGATTTTGATTCTGGAACTGTTTACTACGCTAAGAGAAAGGGGGCAACCATGGGCCACTGCCAAGGATGGTCTAGGAGATGTTTAGCTGAATACCCAAAAAGACTCTGTACTGTCTTTTTCTTTAGTTGTTGAGTCACATTGTGTTATGATGGGACATAGAAGCTGTTCATATGGACATAACAAGCTGACAATATATTTTATTTGTAGTTGAAACCTATAATTTTAGTTAATTACTTAAGAATTGAAGATAAGAAAGTGTATGTAGTGGTTACATGATTAAGCTTTAAGAAACTGCTGAATGATGAATCAAGATAATTCAGGTTTCATTTTTAAGTGAGAAATTCATTAAATAGCAGGAAACTTCATGGTATTCATATTTATTAGATAATATAGGCAAAAGTTGATTTCAGAATGATCTGTTGTTACAAAGCAGAATTGCATTTACAAACTATAGCAACTTTATTTTTTATGATTTTAAAGTATTTGCAAGTATATTGACTGGAGTGTTACTGCTGTGATTTTAATAACATTTTACAAATTTAAAAAAAATTAGGATCCAGAGGGTAAGTTAGTTGTTCGGGGTGAGACAGAAAGTATGCAACAGAGTTTGGATTTAACCCAGATAATTAGTTCCCATTCGTATGCATTAATCACAAAGCCATTGTTCCATGTCCTTCATGCTTTATTCCTCAATACTGTAAAGCTTTTACAAAAGACATACCTTCACACACACACACACGCATTTTTATATATTTTACATTGTATTCTCATCTCATCTATACTGCCATATATCGTAGTATATGTTGTAAAATTAATCATTGTATAGGTGGAATACATGGGTTTCCATACTTACAGTGATAATAAAACTGCAAAACTCAACAATGTTGGTATGTAGGGATTCATGTGGGGAAAAAATGGTTTTGGGCTGAGCTTATGGTTGATGTACCCCAAATTTCATAGGAATTTCTAACAAAACTGGTAAGTCTTCAACACAGCCTATTGAATTATTCCCAATTTCTATGAAAGGTTGAAGAATGACTACACTTCAGAATGATTTGAAGTGCATTTGAGTTCACAAAAGCTTGTACTCTATGTACATCTTATTTAGTGAGAATGCAGAATGCATATCTATGATGCCTTCTGCCTGACTTTTCACTTCTCATGAAACCTAAATCTAGATTAGAACTTACTTTTTTTTTGAGTTTCAGAATGAAAATTCAGTTGTAATCTTACTCAGTTTACTTGGTTTGAATTGATAATAAATATGGAATGGTAGAAGGATAATTTTAGAGGTTCCTGTATCATAGCTTAATGGCTTTGCATTTAATTTGCAGACTTGTTTGATTTTTTTTAAATGTCTCTGCTACTTCTGATTTTTATTAGCAGTTTCTTAAATTTGTTGAATGGCTTGCAAATCATTCTGAAATCATTATTCTTTTTGCACAAACCATGCTAATCAAAGTGCAGAAATGAAAGAGACGAGGGCATATTGTTTCTGTCATCTGCATCTTGATTTTTAAAGTTAATCTCGTTGCATCCCTGACATGAATGTCTAGCACCTGATTTTAAATTTATCAACCTGTCCCTTTAAGAAGTGTTTGAAAGCCCAATACAAAGAAGTTAAACTCAGTTCCTAAAAGGCTGGCATAATTTTTTTATGATGCTTAGGCCCCTGCCAGACATGCAAGTAAAGGTGCAAAAGTATCTGATGTGCGATGCACAAAATTGCACCTCCTGCCATGCTATACATGCATGGCAGAAGGCGTGATTGTAGGATGAAGCATCAGATGCCATCATGCCTTATTGCCAGTGCAGGGGGAGTCTAGTATCACAATCCTAGTCTCCCCCTGAACCAGCAAGCTCTGATGTCTGGAAGTACCCTCAGCTGACAGGGCTCCCAGCTACAGGGTTGCAGGATCTGCTTCTGTGGCTAGGAACCTCATCAGCTGATGTGGGCTCCTATGCACCCCCAAGGCTGGGAGCTCACAGCTGAAGATGGCTCCCTGCCACAGGAGCTGATAGTGCCCCCTTGTAGCTGAGAGTCCCATCAGCTTTGGGCTCCCAGATGCGGTGCATGTTGCATCCCCACAGCTGGGAGCCTGGATCAGCTCACAGTGCTCCCATCTTACGTTTAATGTGTGTCAGGAGCCTTAAGACCCTAACTCCCATTAATTAAATACCATTAAAATCTGGGCGCACATGTGCAACATTTTTTTTAAATGATTTTTTTCTTACAGTTTAAATGAATTTTTAAATTAAATATTTAATAGAAAATAAAAAAGAGAGTATGTGATGAGAAACACTGAAAGCCACCAAATAGATTCAGGATGCCATAAAATAATCTCCTCTCTATATAAATATTATACTCCACATTTAGGAGACTATTCAGGAAGGGTTTGTAGTATGTTTTCTGGAACACTAAGCATTGAAGGTCCTTGGTATAATGCATGTTATCTGATTTTATTTTCAGATAGTTCTGGATACCAATTACTGGACAGCCATCAATCATTTCTTCATTTGGGGTAGTGTAGCTGTGTATTTTGCTATTTTATTTGCAATGCACAGTGATGAGTTTTTTGATATATTCCCAAGCCACTTTTCTTTTGTAGGTGAGTCTTTTTACCATGTATGAGCTATGTAAAGTATTTATATGTGTTAGCATAATCATTATAAAAAAATCATGAAACAGTAGCAACTATAGAAAGAAACCTTTATATTACTGAACTGATATCATCTAAGTATTAAAAAGCATTCCAGCTCTGTTGAAGAGTTGATAAGAATACATAGACTTAGAAGATGGTTATAAACAGACTAAGACAAACAGTGAAGTGAAACTTATTATTCTTTTTTTTAATAAGTGCAACTTATTAAACATTGTTCTTTTTTGTGTGTTACTAAAGGTTAGAGTAGTGGCAAGGAGTACCACTATCCCAGAAAGAACCTTGACATAGTGGGATCAGAACAGCTTGCTGTGAAGATGTAGCTCCTGCAATAGCCATTCCAGCATTAACTGAGCACCAGCAGGATTTTGCTACAGTTAATTGAGAACACAGTTCTTTCAAGTGCATTTTAGTAGCCAAGCACATGATTAAAGGAAATGAAACCACTTTTTCTAACATTGTCTGGACATCCTAAATAGCAGGGACCTTGTGAATCAGCAGTTTAGGCCACACGATAATACTAGCAAACCTGCCACTAGAAACTTGGATGATCTGCTAAAAGATGAACTTGAAAAATAATTATTTTTGGTCCCAATAGTATCATTCTGACCTGCCTGTGTTGTAAATAGGACTATTTTTCTGTTACAGCCCACATATGAGACCAAAAAGTGTTTCCTGCTCATATGATACTAGAAGGACATCTCCTAAGTAGAATTGGGGGTGGGGCAATGACATAATATCCATTCAAAGAAAATTAATAATTGAATGAAGTTGAAGAGTGTGCATAATTGTTAATTAAAGATTGACTAAGCAACTACTGGTTAGCTCAAATGAGTAGTAATTGGATAGATAGCCTTTGGCATCTGTGACACTGCTGTGTGGTTCAGGGCCATGGTGGTTTAAATATTAGTCAGATAATACCATTTGATGGTGCTTTAGAATTAAGGTCTAATGCAGAGTTCATACTCTGAATGCAGCCCTCACATGTTACATGTGATACTGAGACTTTTTGGGGGAGGATGGCATATTAATAAAATAAATAAATAAAATGGTCAGAGTAGTGATCTAGAGTGGGGTGGTTTTGTTTCAACAAAAGCTGGACAATCTGTTTAAACAGATGAGGAATCGTGTGTGTGTGTGTGTGTTTTACCTAACCAGAGAGGTGTGTACACACACACACACACACACACACACACACACAC